ACCCTGGCGCAGGGCGAAACAAGGAAATCAAGCGAAAATCCGAAGAACACGAATTTTGGAATCCAATAAATTATGAAAAATTAAACTTTCAAATTTTGTTAATGAAAAGATGAACAAAACAACGAAATAACCCCTTATTTATAGGGGTTTACATGAGAACCTAGTTTAAGATGAATAAATTAATGAAAATCAAGTTTAAACAAACTAAAATTGAAAAGAATAAAAAAACTAAACTTTACAATCAAATTTCGAATCCTAAACGAACTTGAATTGCCAAAATCCATCGTATGTCAAGACAAAGCCTTGAGTTCTATTCATTTTGTCGTTCTCTTTCCAGAATAGTATCATGGATCCAAATCAAAGTTCGGATACTCTCTCTACACTATTACATTTTTCCCATTTTGATTCAATTATTCTTCAATCCATTCGACAATCTGTTTACATCAGAATCCTTTATGTCACTACTATGATAGTTATGGTGTCCATATGCCGTTTCAGTTTTCTGATCTCCAATGTTTGACTATTAGATTAAAAATCAATGATATTTGATGGATTTGAATTACAGGAGGACCATCTTACAGTTGATGATGCATTACAACATCCTTACTTCTCATCGCCTTCTGGAAAATGAGATTATGTAAAATCTTCGCAAATAGTCTTTCCGTTTGTAGTAGCCCGGCGGCATTTTAGCGAGCAAAAAAGTCGAAATTGTAAACTTATCACTGTAGTTGTTATGCAGCAGCTGCCCATGCCATTTGTTTAATGGGTGGTTTCCATGGAATCAAGATAACTGATAAGTTATCCATGCTGCCTCTCTTAAAAGCAGTTTGAATAATGCAGTCGGCTAATGAGGATGACAACAAACATTCAGACGAGACCTTTGATGCCTCATTATGTAAAAGATCACACACATTCTGCGGAGTCAAGGTCTCGAATATACCATCAGATGATACCACCAAGTATATGTCTTCACTGGTTAAAGGTCTCCAGCCAGTGACTTCAGGGACTGCAATAACACCATATCTAGGAATACCAGAAAAGAAATTACCTCAGTAAGTTGAGGAAGAGATTGAAATGCACTTCTGTTCTTTTACCAAGCAATGAAACAAAATACTAAGATCAAGAATATCCAACTTCAGGTCAACTAGAATATAGTTTACAACCTTTTTAAAAGCACGTCACCAATAGCTCGGGACATAGCCAATATGCCATTGACACGTGGAACACCCCACACACGAACAAATCCACCGGATGCTTCTATCCGGGCCCTTTCATCTTCTCTATCTGGATGGTGATCTCTTGTGAGTTCCTCAGCATGAAGTTCTTTCACTAGA